AGCTCAGGACAGGCTGTGAGCAGAGCAGACTTCTCCGAGCTGCTCCCAGCAAGCAGATGAGCAGGTGGAGCCCTTGAGGCTGGCTGAAAGGGAGAGCAGGATGTGGACTGGTGACTCAGGAAGATGCTCCAAGGGCAAGCGTTGGGCATGCAGGCCATCTGGTAGGCCCAAGGCTTACATGAGCCCAGCTTATCTATCTTAAGTCAAACAAAACTGCTGTCCTCTCCACCCATCAGCAGACCTGATGACTCAGACCTAATGGATCCAGCATTGTTCTCATCAAGGAGTGGCTTGCTCTCTGGAGGAGCTGGGCTCCAGCCCAAGTCTTAACAGGTGGTGTGAAGGCTTGCAGCGAAGCAGCTAGTTGAATCCAGTCAGGGAGCATCTGGCCTGGGTCAGGAGAGGGAGGGATCGCTGGCTGAGCTGGTGGTGTATAGTTGCAGTAATCCCAGAACTTGGTCAGCTATTGGCTCTGCTTGTATTTGCACCCGTCTTATCACTTCTCTCTAAGGTGCTCAGAGATGCCATGGGAGTCGGGCTGGGGGGCCAAGGTGGGTGCAGCCATGTACTGTTGGACTCACCTGAGTAGATAGAGGGGAAGGCTTTGTGCAGGTCCAAAGAGAGGAAGGCATACACTGAAGGCTACACAACAAGCTGGACCAGAACCTGAGTACGACATGGACCTCCCCTCCTGCCTCTCACGTCTTTGTTTATTCCAGTCTAGCCACCATGGATTCCTCAGTGTGGATTTCTTGAGCTTGCCGTGCAGGTGCCCACCTCAGGTGCTTGCAGAGACCTGCCTCTGCCCTGGCTCTCTCCCAGGTCCCTGCAGGCCTCCATCCTCTGCTCACACCTCACTATCTAAAGGAACAGACTCTCCCCTTTGTGACTCTCTCCTGCAACACTGCTTGGCTTCTATTCTATAGAACATATCATGTGTTTATTTTTACATTTCTCTGCTCAGTTACTCCGCTGGGACAGAAGCTCCATAAGGGCAAAGATTTTCTCTTATTCATGGCTGAAGCTCTAGTGATAACAGCAGTGCACTGGAGGAAAGTGGTCATTGAAATATATGTTGAAATCTCCTCATCTTTGGCCAGTCCTCCCCTATACCTGCAGGACAAGTGAAGGAGGAGTTGGCTGAGGCTGGAGGCGGGCAGCCCTGCACTCTGTCCCAGGCTGTGACATCAGGGTATGACAAGAACCTGTCATGATACACCACGAGCATGACTACGTCAGTGGCTGCCTCCCATCCAGAGCCCTTTCCCCAAAGCTGGCACTATCTCTGTCCTTGGACCCACTGTTCTCTGTCCCCTTTTGCATCTGTAAACAACATTTGTCCATCACTTATGTTGTGCCAGGCTCAAGGTGGAGTGCTAGGGAGTCAGAGAAATGAAACACTATTTCCATCCTCATGGACTTTCCAGCTTGGCCACCTTGGCAGACAAGTAAGCCCTCCCAAGAAACACTGTCCACTGTCAGGTGGGAGACTGACAGAGGAAGCAGAAGGGCAGCAGATTCTGGCATTAGGGAAGGTGGTAGGGTACTCAGAGTGGAGAGGGGGACTTAGGGAAGAGTCAAAGAAAGGGATATTACAGCTGGTTCTCATAAGATGAAGGTGTGGGGATAGAGAAGGGAAACCAGCATTGTACAGAAAAGAACCTTTGCAAAGGGTTCAGTAGAACCAAAGAGGCCAGTGTCTGGGGGCACTGGGCAAAGATGAAGTTGTAAAGGCCAGTGGGGATGCTGAAGGGTCTTGAACAACAGACTAAGGAGCTTGGGCTTTCAGCTGTTGGCAGTGGGCACTACTCTCGCATTTAGGGCGGGAGTGACTTGGTCAGATTTGAATTGTAGGAAGCTCACCTTGGCTACCATGTACAAAGCGGTTTGGAGTGGCAAGTATAGAAGTTAAGAGACTATTGCATGGATAGCACCTAAAAACAACAAAATTAAATTATTAATGCAGAAGAGAGTTTGTGCAACTATAGAAAGTAGCTCAAAAGTAAAAGAATGTACTTATTCGCATTACAGCTTTTAAAGTGTATCTCTAACTGCACTGAGATAACCCCACATAAAAGTAGATAATAATAGTAATAATAGAAGCTGTAGTAACTACAGTTACTTTTACTTATATATAGATGTGTGTGAGAGCATGTGTGTGTATATATAGATTAGATAGATAGATAGATAGATAGATAGATAGATAGATAGATAGATATAGAGTGAAGGCACTATTTAAAATATATAATCATAAACAAAATTAAAATGCTGTTGTTCTTGCTCTTGTTGTGCACCATCAAGTCAAAACTGACCCATAGCTGACCCTCTGGTGGGTTTTTAGAGGCAGTTAATCTCACGAGAAGAGATTCACCATCCTTCTCCCACGTGCCTTCGGGATTGCAGCACAGCTTCTTGCCACCAGGCTGTGTTTTATAAACTATACTAAAAAAGAGAGACTATTAGCATTTCCTGCTGGAAGCTATGATGTCCAGGATTGGGTCACAGACGTGGTTGTGGAGGGAGAGGGAGAATTTCAAGAGCATCTTCTGGCAGAATCTACCCATTCAAGAGGAGGTAAATCCGACTCAATCCCAGGAATCCCAGGGACGTGGGGACAGGAAGGATGATCTGGCTACTGCTGACAGTTCATGCCCATCTCATGGCCAGCCCTGACTGACTTCATTTTACGTGCACTGGCCACTCTGTTCAGGTGTGCTAAGCTTCTCTTCGTGCTCAGGACCTGCCCACATTGTCTCTTCGTCCTACAATGCTATTCCACTCTGCTACAGTCTGCCCCTCTGCTCACCCCTTGGTCTTCTCTGACCTTTTACATTGAGAGTTCTGTCTTGGATCCTCTCATAGCACCAAATATGTCCTTGTCTATCCAGTGATAATTAGCCAATCCTGCCACCTGGTTTAAGTACGACTCCACTTAACTCCAAGTATAATTCTTGCCATCACCACACACTTGGCATAGAGCTTGGCACCGAACTGTTCAGTAAGTTCTCATTGGAGGAATGAACCTAATGACTGGTTTGCTTGAAGGGCATTCGTAAGGTGCTTTCCAATAGCAGTCAGGATCTAGTAAGTTCATACTTGAGTGGGATGATTGGATGGGGAGGTTTTTTAGCGAATCTAGATGGTAGTAATTGGACAGAGCAGCATAGCAAGGAGTCTTAGCACCCAGGAGTTTGCCCGTGATTTGACTCTGAACTCTGAATGATGCAGAATGCAGGAGGCATCCACCTTCCTAATCTCTTAAAGCAGCTGGAGCCAACAGCAGCTCCTGCCATACTGACAGAGGTCTAATATCCTAAACAAGTCAGATGACAAATCCCTTTGCTACCTTGTGTCCTAATGTAACCTAGGACACTGACAGACAGACCTGGGGACAGATGAGAGCTCAAGAGACATGCAAAAGCTTCACTGTGTGCAACTGGAGGCAGGTAAAGGGACTGGATCTGCTCACCCTAGTGGGGTCTACTAGAGGTTCAGGAGGTGCAAGGGGCCAGACAGAGAGGGGTCTCAGGGAAGCAGACCTCTTGTGTAAGGAAGGAATCTTGTTCAAAGCCACCTAACAATGCAGCTGACAGGCAGTGACCTCCATCCCCAGAGGATGAGTGACTTCATGTGGAGCACAGAAGGAAGGCAGGAGGGGGAACCAGGACCTGAGGATCTTGAGGTTGATGATCTTGCTTTAGGGCAAGACATTATTTTTTAAATCCTTGCACTGCCTAGCTAAGCAACAGGACAGATGTCATGTGCCTAAGAGGTTGGCAGGTTCTGGGGAGATTTGGGGCCTCAGGCCAGGTAAGCTGCAGACTTGGGGTTTTCTATCAGCCCATGGAGGGAGGTCTGATGGCCTAGAGGTAAGAGGCTGTGCTGCAATACTAAAGTTACACAGTTTGAATCCAGTAACTGCTCTGCAGAAGAATCTACAATTTTCTTCCATGCAATTTACTATTTCTGAAAACCCTCTGGAGGGTCAGCTATGGGTTGTTCTGATTCAATGGCACACACAACAACAACATTGGCCCATGGAGATGACTACATTTGGCTGCCAAGTGTCCCCAAAGGGGAATCCTTGTCCCCCAAAGATTCTTGAACAAGAATCTTTTTCACTGACCCATTGCAGTATTCCAGCAACTTCTCTATAGGCTTAAAATCTTTCACAATTAGTTTCTAAGACTTATAACTCAGGAAAAAAAATTCGTTTCCAGACACCAAAGAACACTGAGACTTTGATGCAAACATTTGGGAGTTAGGCCCAGAAACTTTGTTTTCCAATTCTGTATATTCCAATTTTTATTTCCCAGAGAAATAAAATTTGTAGGTCCAGTTGAAAATGTTAATCTAAGTAATTAGAGAAATGTGTATGTAAATGGAGCTCGGGTGGTACAATAGTGGAGCACTTAACTGTTAACTAAAAGGAAGGTTGGTGGTTCAAACCCAGCCGGCATCTACCAGGAGAACGATCTGCAGTCCACTGTAAAGAGTACAGTCTGACACATGGGCTCAGTGAGTCCTCACAGCAGTCCTGAGTGGGAGACAAAGTCAGGAGAATCGCCTCCACTTTGTGGATGGGTACACTGAGGTCAAGTTAAGTAGCTTTTCTGAGGTCACAAGTTGGTTGGTGGAGCCTTGACCCTAGTCCCTTTCCCCTGCATCTTGCTGGCTTCTAGTCACTGCCTTTTTTTTTTTTCTCTTTTGCTTCTCTTTGTGGTTTTCTTTCTATTTCAATGTTCCCGCCTTCTTGCTTCAGCCCTCAAAGTCAAATCGGCTTTAAAAGTTGTCTTCACTCGAACTCAGCCATTGGAGGCCAAGCCAGCCTGCTGCTCTAGCCCCATGTCCCGGATACGAGGGTGTGGATATTAACTTGGGGTGACGCTCCCAGCCTTTCCAGCTGGCCCAGATAAGATAACAGTGGGCAATCGGCACTATATACAGACCCCCATCCTGCTCCCGGCCCAGGTTCCGGCTAGCTCAGGTCTAGGATCAGGATGGCTCCCCGCCTGTGGGTGATCGCCCTGGCTGTGGCTACCCTTCTCATCGTGAACAGAGGTGAGCGGGCAGAGCATGGGTTCTCAGTGATGCAGGGTTGGTAGGTGAACTTGGGGTGAGAAGGGAACATATCACTTTTGATATTCACCTCTGTTCTACACAGGCATTCTCTACAGTCGTGGGGAAAGTCCTAGGCTGAGAGAAAAGGTCCTTGAATTCAGCTTCTGAATGTGGCTCAGGTTATAAAAGAAGAATTCTTAGGGCCTCAGTCTATCAGTAAAGTGAAAGGCTGCTCTTATTCCACACTGCATTGAGCAGCTGCTGGGCTAGATGTTAGACTCAGAGGGCAAAGGCCAGGCCCTAGGCCTCAAGGGGGCCTTGGTCCTCGGAACTCTCATTCTGCCCTGATAAACTACAGTTTGAACCGAGAGTGACTGTGAGAGCCCATACTCTGGGTGGAGACATGTGGATGGGATGGGGTCTCTGCAGAGTTCCCGTCTCCTGCATTACACATACTGTGGTCAAGGCACTATTTTGGATGACCAAAACATTAAAAAAATCACTGCCCACATGGAACTTAAATCCAATGGGGGCAGAGGGATAGACAATAAACAAAATGGGTGCAGTGGATGTTAGTTTACTACCAAAACCAAAGCAACTGCTGTTGAGTTGATTCCAACTCACAGCGACCCCACAAGAAGGTGCAAAACTGCCCAGAGGGTCTTCAAGGCTGATTCTCTACAGAACCAGACAACCACAGCTCTCTCCTGTGGAGAGAGTTAGCCGGGGAGTGCGTAACCACTGTGCCACCAGGGCTCCAAGACAGTAAGCCAGAAGGTGATGAAACCTAAGAAAAGCATATTGAGAAAGGTAATTGGGACTGGGGAAGGAAGAGCCTGCAATTTTAAGTAGTTAACAGGAGAAGTGTCTTGAGAGGCAGATGTCTAAGCAAAGCTTGAAGGAATGAGCCATATGGAAATACAGAAGCAGGTTTAAGGCAGAGGCAACAGCAGTGCAAAGGCTCTGAGGTGGGAGTGTTTGAGTCATTGGGAGGCCAGTGTCACTGGAGGGGAATGAAAGCAGGTGCAAAGCAGTGTGTGTGGGGGAAATGAGAGAGGCCACCGGGACCCTATCAGGTAAGGAAGGCCCTGCAGTTCAGTGTGAGACCTTGGTTCCTCCTCTGAATGAGATAGCAACCAGTGGGGGTTTTGAGCAGAATTAAGTTAGATGAATTCTTGTGCTTGCTGTGTTGAGAAGAGACTAAAGAAGGTAGCAGGGAGTTAGAACCCACCTGGCCTGTGATGTTTTAAAACTGCAAGCACAGCCAGTTGTGCACCTATACCTCAGCTGGAGACTCCGAACTGGGGACTGAGATGATAGAGAATGGGTTGGGCGGGTCTGATCCAGCATAGCCATGTATACCCAACCAGCCTGGCACACTTTCCCTGAGCAACTGTCTGATCAACAATGTTGAAGTGGTCTGCCCTACAAGGATCCTTGTGTCCACCTCACACTCTTGCCAGGCTGAGTCAGTGAGGAGACCTACATCAAGGTCAAGATCGAGGGCAGCTGAGTGTCAGCCTGCAGGTAAATAAAATTTCTTCCCACTTCTTCCAGGAAGAAATTGATACCACGAAGTCCTGAAAATCTCCCCCAATGTACTGTCATGGTCAGTTCCTCAGCACTCACTGTGGTCAGGGCATTGAGTAGGGGACATAAGGGGCTGATAAAGGAACTTGGAGCTCAAGGGCACAGGAGGGCAAAGGTGATTCAGTGGGGGGGGGGCAGCATATGGCATATAAAAGAAGGCAGAACCCAGGCCCCATCATGGGCCCCAAGGGACATCAGGGAAGCCATCAATCAGCAAGAGGTGACACTTGAGCCTTGAAAGCAAGATACGACTCAATAAAAGAACAGAGGTGAGGGCATCCCATGCAGGGACAGCAGCATATGCCAAAGCAGGCATGTTCAGAGAACAGTGAGTGGAGAGGAACGGGTTGGGGCTTAGGGGACAGGGAGCAGTGTGCTCAAAAGCGAGCCCAGGAGGAAGTCAGGTCGGCTTACAAAATGTCCCTCCCAGGAGACGAAGGAGTGTAGGGACTGAGACCAGAAGCCATGGAACACCTTTAGATTATTTTAATTACCTTTTAAAGTTTTATATTGGTTTGCTTACAAAGTTTGTACACATTGTGTTTCACACTATCCTTCATTCACATTGTGTTTCATGTAATCATCCTCATTATGTTTTATAAAATTAGTCGCTATTAGACTAAACCCACCATAACCCTGTCTTTCCAGGTCCCTACTGGATCTTTCCCGTTTCCTTTACCCCCTCCCATTGCCCATCAAATTGTGCAACCCTAAGACATCCCCCTGCTTGTCCTCACTCCTCTGCTCCAAACCTGGATCTTCATACACTTTTCACCAGTTATCTGAAGCCTTTGATTTTTAAAGTACTTTTTATCCTTAACAGTTACTTGCCAGGAAACACACAAATCTTAAAAATGCAATTGATCTTGTCAGATATAGACACCTGTGTTACTCCATCACCCCAGAAAGTCCCCAAATCCCACTCAGTCCACATCCTGAATCCACCCTGAGGTAACCGCTATCCTAACTTTTTCATTGTAGATTAGTTTAACCTGTTCTAGAGTTTAACTAAATGGACCCACACAGTCTCTCGTGTCTTTTCCTTTTTTTTTTTCACTCAAACATATTTTTGAAATGCAGCCACGCTTTTGTTTGCAGCCATGTCAGTTGTTTGCTCATTTTATTGCTGTCATAACCTTTGTCAAGAGCAAGTTAAACAGTAAGATTAATGTGAGTTTAATTGTACTTACTTACTAACCTGCAGTGAACAATTCCACCTAAGTTTCATCTGTCGTGTAACTGTTCACTACAGTGTTTTTGTTTTGTTGTTGTTAAGTGCCATTGAGTCTAGTGGCCCTATGACTAGATCTGAACCATCCTATCCTGTGCCATCCTCATCATCTCTGATCCATTGCTGCAGTCACTGTGTCAATCCATCTCATCAAGGGCCTTACTCTCTTTGGTTGACCCTCCACCTTTCCAAGGACGATGTTCCTCTCCAAGGACTAGCCTGTCCTAGCAACATGCCCAAAGAATGTGACATGAAGTTTTGTCATCTTTGCCTCCAAGGAACATTCTGGCTGCATGCTCTTCAAGACATATCTATTTGTTTTTCTGGAAGCCCATGAGATATTCAGCATTCTTATCCAACACCAATACTCAAAGACATCAGTTCTTCCTTGTCATCTTTATTCACTGTCCAGTTTTTAAATGCATAGCAAGTGATAGAAAAGACTGAATTAGGTACACTTTGTTGTTGTTGTTATTAAGTGCCGTCGAGTCGCAGGTCACTCACAGCGACCCTATGAAGAGGAGTCCTCGACGCTTGGGTGTCTCTCATCCCTCTCCAGGTTCATAGGGTTTCCGGAGGCAAGCTATTATGGAAATGGATGCCACTCCTCCTTCCAAGCTTGTTTTAATCGAGGAGCTACACCCCACTCTCTGTCTGCATTGAAACATCAATCCAGCCATTAACGCATTTGACACATCAGTGTCACAGTGTTCAGCCTCACAGCAACCACAAGTGACCGCTGTACAGCAACTTGTACACCAGGGCTATACGACCTAGAGGAAAATCTGAACAAAAACAATGAAAGGCCCGAGGGCCGTGGATTAAAAGTCACCCACCTTTGGCTTGGTAGCATCATTTCCTGTGCACTGGGCCAATTGATCTCTCTCTCTCAGGCACACTTTAGTCTTCAAACAAACATTGTTGCTCCTCAGTAATTTGGAGAGGTCCATGACAGAGGACTTGCCCAATGCAATATGCCTCCTCTGCTGACTGCTAGTACCAAGGTGTTGACTGTAGAATCTAAGTTGGATGAAATCACTGACTTTAATTTTTTTTCCTACATCTATCTTGATATTGCCTATTAGTCCAGTGGTAAGGAATTTTGTCTTCTTGGTGTTGAAATGTAATCCACATTGACCTTTTGCTATATTCTGCTTAGTACAGAATAGTAACCAAGTACAATCAAGCTCTTGTGTGCCCTACTAGGTAATCCAGCCTTGCATGGTTTACTAATTTATTTTCCTATTAATATGTTAGTGTTATTTTCCATTTTGGCAATATTGACTTGGCTAGATTTGCATTTGGTGACTCAATGCACAGTTTAAAACAGCTTATCTCAATTCCCTCCAACCTCTGCAGTGTTTAAAAAAAGGGGGGGGGGGCCCTGGGAGAGCTCTGGAGCTAGGATGCTTCCATCACATTGTTTAGAATAAAGAGGATTCTTGCACCCCACCAAGGAGTCACTGGAGCTGGGGAGCTCCTGGGCAGAGGAAATGACCTGGAGAGAGGCAGCTGGTCCTCGGAGGTGAATGCTGCAGAAGGACTCAGTTGTGAGCCTTTCATACCCCATGCAGTGTGACAATGAGTGTTTCGGCCCTGAAGCTCTCTGCACAGCGGATCACAGCATCCACTCCTCCAGAGCCAAGGAGATATTAAGAGCGGTTGAGATGGCATATCCTCTGTGCTTGGCACATAGTAGCTGCTGGCTTGTTATTTTTTAAACTATTATATGGAACCCAACACTCCCAGTGGGATCAAGTAGATGAGGAACCACCCTCATTTTACACATTCTCTGTTCTTGTAACTCAAGGTCACAGGAACTTCCTGGCGCCTCCATTGTATGGTGACCCATTCCCCTTCCTAGAGGACTTTCTGGCCTGGTAGCCGTTGGGTCTGGCCCTTGAAAAAGGAGCAGCAATCCTAGGCCCCTGGGCCTGGGCCCAGAGCTGAGGTGACCTAATGTATGCTGTTTTGTCTTTCAGCGGGGCCAGTGTCAGCAGGAAAGCTTGTTTTCTCAAGAATGGTAAGAACGCTGCTTGTTGTTCTGGGCTCAGAGCTCTGATCTGTTCTTTCCTCTGCAAAGAGCCTCCTCATCCACGCTGAGAAACAAGCGTTTTCTCCACGTCCCTAGCTCAGATACTGCAGATGGCTGTAGGTGGCAGAGTGGCCTCCTGATGCTGCTTGGGTCCAAGTTAGCTCCATCTGGCAGAACAAGATCAGCCCCTTCTTCAGGGCCCTCCACGTCCTTTTAATCAGTGAGGTTGCCTTCCCAGCACCAGCAGGACATGCTCTTTGCTTTGCACAGTAAAGATGAATGGGCCAAGGGCTGAGGGGAAAGAAGCATCCACTCCCCCACCCCACTCTGCAAACACCAAGCTGTCTCTGAATTACCTTTGGTCTGATATCCCTGGCGACCCCAAGACAGTGGGGCTGGCCTTGCTGAAACCCTCACCTGTCTGCTTCCCATCCAGCATTTACACCAAAACTCAGCCCCATTTACTCTACACCAGACATAAGCTGTGCACGTTACCTACACTATGTCCATTAGCCTGATGGGAGAGGGGCACTATTAGTATGTTTTCACAGGTGAGGAAACGTAGGCCTAGAGAGCTGAAATAGCTCATGCACAGCTAACCAGCAGCAGAGAGCAGACATCTGGGGCTTGGGGTCTTCACTGCCACACTACACTGCCTCACTCACCCCTATTCCAGGCCTGACCCAGTTCCAACTCTGACTCCATGCTTAATCTGAAACCATTTAAGACTGAGGTTCAATTCTCCCTCAAGTCATGTCATTTTTCTAGAACCTACCCATACACATGCTGTGCCACCTTCCTGCTAAAAGCCTGACAGGTCATGCAGAGTCCCCAGGCAGAGAGATCTTGAGAGTTATGGGTGGTTTTTGTCTCCAGTTCTCAGTGGGGCCAGCAACAAAGGTTCTAGTTACACCCTCTGAGGAGCATGTGAACCTGACCCCAGGAGGGCGAAGACACAAACTCACCTCACACACATAAGCATCTCATATGTACACCTGGATGCTTGCATACTTAATACACACAGGCACACACAAAGGCTAAAGGGGGTTGTGCTTGGTTTCATGCTTCCTGGGCCCATACTTCAGCCTCCTTGTATCTGGCTCCTCCCCCTGCGCCCTGACTCCAAGCAGAGCCCCTGGCTGTCTCCCCCAGTCCAAGTCCATTCTCTGTCTGCCTTCTCTCCACAGCCCATCTGTGAGCACATGGCAGAGTCTCCAGACTGTTCCAAGACCTTCAACCCAGTCTGTGGCACTGATGGGGTCATGTATGACAGTGAATGCCACCTCTGCCTGATGCGGTTGTAAGTCCACCACCTCCCACCCTTTGCCCACCTTTCTCTCGGGTGGTCTGGGTAGGCCCCACTTCTGGTGCATACAGAGCTGGAAGGAGAAAGCCTTGGACCTGCTTCTCCCTTCACACGTTTGACTTGGGGCAAGGCTTCCAACATTTGCCCTTAACAGAATGAGAACAGGAAAGACCCAGGGTTCCAAGCAGAAAGCCACAGCTGGTGGACAGCTGAGGTGGAAGCCAATCCCTGGCTTCTTTTCTCTGTTGTTCTAAGTGATCTCATCTGTATACTTCAAGGTAACAAATTATTTGTTGAGAACTATGTGCCAGGCAGGACAAAAGGCAGCCAGCAGGCCTCCTGATTCATTCAGTCAGCCTACAGGGCGGATGGTCAATGACAGCACTGAATGCTACATGCTCAGAATGGGCTATACCGGGGTCCTCAAGAGCAGGAGAGAAGCAAAGAGAGGGAAGATTTCCAGAGGCGATACTTGAGTTCAGTCCTGAGGGACAAGAAGAAATTATTCAGGGGGTGGGGGAGAAGAAACAAGGTAATTTTAAGAAGAGAATCTGGAAAGATTAGCAAGGAAAGGATGTTTACATTTGATAAAACCTAATAGGTTAGGGTGAAAGCAAGTTTCCCTTTGGAGGCTAGGATTCTGAAGCTCCATCTCACATACTTTGTACATTTGGCCAGGAGGGACCAGTCCTTGGAGAAGGACATCATTCTCAGAAGGGTGGAGGGACAATGCAGGAGAGAAAGACCCCAGATGAGATGGACTGATACAGTAACTGGAGCAATGTGGGGAGAATCCGTGAGACCAGCTCAGGCCAGGCCAGGCTTTGGAGTGGCTGTATATAGGGTTGCTAATCCGCAGGCAACTTGACGGCTCATGACAAGTCAGATCTACCAGAATGTAAAGTTTAGGAAGAATGGTGGAGAGCTGAGAAATCTAGAGATGAGCAGGGCCAAAACATATCCAGTAGATCCAGTCACCGATTTGGTTTCAGTTCACCAATAAAACCCTAGGAGCCTGAGAGTTAAATGAGATCACAAAAAAGTTCATAGAAACTGCTGAGCTCAGGAGACCACCAGCAGGATATTGTTCTAACTTACAAAAAGATCATCACGTTCAGTTAGGAAACACAACGCAGGTAGAACTGACAGGCTTGGTATGAGATTAGTTGAGGGGAAGGAAGAGGCAGGGTCAATAGGCTGGTTTGAGCAGCTAGTAGAGCCACGCAGAGACACAAAGGAAGAGGGAGTTAGTAGATTTGGGGATGATGAGTTTGTGAACAACTGAGACTGACTCATCCCAGTAGAGACGTTCAATGGTAACTGTATGAATGAGTCTAGAGTTCAGGACAGTGGTCCAGGCTGCGGACACAGTACGAGGGCATGATACAGTTGCTGAGGAGGTGGTCTCATCTCTGTCTCCTGTGATCACAGGAAAACCAAACAGGACATCCAGATCACAAAGGATGGCAAATGCTGACTCCCATAGGCGCACCTCAAAGCATGAAGTTTCAGGCTTGAGAACAACGGTGGTGATGGCAGGATGCAAAACAAAATAAAAAAAGTAGTAATAAAAGCTATTTCAACCCAATTAATGGACCAATGTCTGCAAATTTTGAGGTGCGGGTAGGAGGGGATCTTGTACAGAGTTCAATTCCTTGATCCTTCTGGTGTTCCTCAACCTTGTGACAAGTTCCCTTAAAGGTCCCAGCTGTCTCTTCCTGCTGAAGGAAGTCAGGACTCTGAGAGGCCAGTCTCTGACCATAAGATGCTAGCCAGTGCTCTTATCTATCTCAACCTGGTCAGTTGATGGTGAGATTTGCACCCTCTCCTCCTGCTGGGGTTACTGTCAGGGCTTGTCCCAAGACAACCTCTGTGAAGGCTCCACACCCTTCATGACACTTCCTCCTGGATTAGATCAGCATTCCAAAATGTACCCAGGCACGTATACAACACAAGTATGCCTGATAAACAGATAGCATACATGGTATATTAAAATCCTGGACTAAGACTAAATAGTATCTTATACCCTATGCCCTTCAAATGCCCCCACTATACACCCTGCCCACTCGGGCCTTCCCTGGGAACCCTAGGACTTCCCTAAAGTTCAGTATCCAGGGCCAATTCCTGACATAGGGTGACTTTGTTGTTGCATACCGTCAAGTCAGAACCAACCCATAGCTGCCCCTCCAGTGGGTTTTCAGAGGCAGTTAATTGCACTGGATTCAAATCACATGCCTTTGGGAATGCAGTGCAGCTTCTTGCCCCTAGACCACCAGAGTTCCCTAAGACCCTACTATAATCTTCCAGTCCACTACAATCACAGAGGCGCACAGTTCGAATCCACCAGATGCTCTGCCGGGGAAGGAGGGACAATCTCCTCCTGTACCAGTCAGATCTGATTCGACGGTACACTCACACAAAAACAATAAAATAAAAAATAAAATAATCTTATAGTCCATATCCACTCTGATAAATATTTTGGCATCTGATATGGTCCACTGGATAAAATGTTGTCCTTCGGCCATGCCTAGAGCAATCAGAACAGGACACATAGCCTTTATCTGGCTGGTCATGTAATAAGCTAAAAATGTCATCGTCTCCATGTCAGATGTGGAAATCTTGGCTCTGTTCACAGGAACCATTCTGATTCCTGAGCCTACAACTATGACATGTGACCTGGGCCCCTGGCCATCTGACACATTCTCAGGTAAAAGATGTAAAAATTCTGAGGGAAAAACTCTCCCACAGGGATTCCAGAATGAAAGAGAAGTGATGTGTGACAGGGGACTACTGGCAGCCATGTTTCCTACTGTGTAGAAGCAGGAGTGAGAGAATGATGATGATATACAAAGGAAAAGAGATATGGAGAATTATTCCAGGTTTGCCCAATTGCCTGTAACATTCCATGTTACATCAAATAATTTGTATCCTGTCAATACATCTTGTATTTTATCCAATTTCCTTGTCATTAAGATTCTGAAATTTTCAACTAAGAGCTAGAGGTCTACTATATGAAGAAGGGCTTCTTAGAGGAGGTAACCTTTAAGTTGTGCCTTGATATTATATATTCAGTTAGCATTCATTCATTCTCCAAATATTTACTAAGCACCAACTATATACCAATCTATTCTGGACATGGATTAAAAGGGTAATACTGTATTCATAATTCATTTTGCTAAGATTAGTAGAAAACCAGTTAGGAGTTCAGAGTTGATATTGTCTCTTTGATTTGCTATATGACCCAATCATTTGCAGTATCAACAGTATTTCTCATTCAGTTCCCTCCCTCCCTCTATATCCTTTGGGTTTAGTGGTTTGCCAAAAGGTCTCCCAGAGACTCAGTCTCATCAGGGAAATGATTCACACAACTGTAGGTATACAGGCTGGGTTTGCAGAGACTGGGGAGCGTTGTACACTATCAGTTCCAGGGTTTTTAAAAAGGCAGGCATCAAAAAAAGAGCTAGCACTGAGGTCCTACAAGCCCCTAGTAGGGTGGGGCTTGTATCCCATGCTAATCCTCTCTCCTTAATACAATAAATACTTCAGTTCAAAATAAAGTTAATTGTTGGCTAGGAAAGACAGGGTAAAGACAGGCCTTTGACACCTCAGAAGTATAAAGAACTTAGAATAGTGTCTAGTATATCACAACTTCTCATTATTTGTTGTGTCCCAAGGTTACACAGCTACCACAATAAAACCTGTAAATGTCAGAACCTGAGTAAGGTAGGAACCAGTCAAAGAATGAAAATGAAAATCTCTATTACACTATGTGGCAGAAAAACATTAAAACCTTATTCTATGAAAAGTGGGAAACCTTTAAGACATGAAAACAGAAAAAAAAAGGCATGAAGACAGGCACTGAGCCACTTGACTGGCGCTGGGGCGGGCTGAGCCACTTGACTATCCCTAGACTATTTACACCTTAGGTCCCCTCCATCCAGTCCTAAACCCCTGGGACTTGAATACCTCTCTTCTCTGCCAACAAGATCTGCTGCAGAGTAGCCTGTCAGAAGCCTGTCTCCAGGGCACTGTGTTGTGGGGTGAATGCAGTGGGCCAAGGTTCTGGCACACAGGACCTCTCAGGATTTTATTAAGCGTTAAGTTCCAACCAGAAACACTAAAGGTTTTTCTTTCTTACATGTCATCCAAAACTAACTAAATAAATAGTAAGCTTAAGCATTCTTCTGCTTACTGACAGACGTTCAAAACTTTTTAAATAACAGGGAGAGAAAGACCAGAGAATGGCCAGCTCTGAAGGAAATGATCTCAGAAGGGTATAAAAGTTCAAAGATATGCCTCTTGAGGAAATTTAGGTCATTCCTGAGTTTGTGAGCTTCACCACCCGCCTGTTTTATTCACTCTGGCTCCCTTCTCTGCTCATTCTAAGTCATGGTGCTGACCTGGCTATAGCACTTGTAAAGGTGTCCTAACCTCTGGAAGATCTGCTAGGAGACAAGACCATCCATGCGTCAATCAGAGGCTTCACCCAAGGTCACTGGGGAGCTAAGAATGGGCTGTGAACCAACAACCAGTCAGCTGTCTGAGAACTTGGTCGTAATGAGGAATACATGATCTACATTTGTGCCATTTCTGGGCCTTTCCCAATATTGCCGACTGGAAGTAATCTCTCAGTGATCTGAACATCAAGGGACTAGAGGATCACAAGGGGAAAAACCCTAAGGGATCTAATATATATAGATTTTTATCTACAAATCTGAACCCTCCCAGGACAAATGAGATCTCCTATCAGCCCAAAGAAAGCACCCAAAGGTGAACAGAACTGGAAAAACATGTGCAAGGGGGCTATCTCCCGACAAGGTAGGCCCCTGGACAACACATTCCACAGAAACAAGAGGGAAAGGTGCTCTATTTCGATCTGCAAAGACAATACTTTTTCACTGAGAAGTTGCCAGTAATTTCCTTGAGAAATGGACAGTTGGCCCAGGCAGCCCGAGAGAAATCAGGGAACTTCTAGTGTCGAGGCGGCAGAGCTGGTAGTGCTGTTCTTCAGAGCAGTGAAGCCCACGTCTGCCTCGCCTCAATCTGCCAAGGCCAAGTTTGTAGACTGCAGCCGTTCTGTCTCCTGACCGATGTTTTGCTCCACTATGTCGCATTCAGCTAAGAGCGTCTGAAAAGACAAATGAGGGACAATGAGGACCCAGCCAGGCCTAGACAGCCACATCCACATAAGGCTCTCCGTGTGGCCATTCTGAGAAACCTGCTGGTGACTAACTCTTAATAGGCAGTGCAGGGATGGAGCTGTGACCTGAACTTCAGAGGAAAGAGACCGGGAAGGAACTTAGGATCAAGGCTCTGACAATGCTCAAGGCCAAAATCCCCCCAAAACCTTATGCAGCACAGAGGAGCACTGATTTGGTAAATTACTACCTAACTTGGGAGACACTGGAGAGCATTATGCTGAGTGAACTAAGTCAGTCCCACAAGGACAAATACTATATAGAACCATTATTGTAGAATGAGTATAAGCCTCCAAGGGGTGGGGGTGAAAATAGAAGAGTGAGGATGGGTGGGGGTAGGGTGTTAATCATAGGGTTACAGAATTCGATGGGTGGGTGGGATGAAGGAAATGGGAAGGATCTTTTGTGAAAAACAATGTATTCAAACTTTGTAAATAAATCAGAATAAAATTAAAAAAAAAAAAAAGAAATCACCCAAAAGGTGGTAAAGACACAAGTCCTGCCTTGGGGCCATTGAAACTGTATAACTTCAGAGGTTTCTGCACATATTTTATATGCCCACTGCCTACTGGAATTGTGGAATGTTTCAGTTGTACTCACTTTGCAGTGATCTTCCTCTTAAATAGTTTAAATTCAAATGTAATTACAGGGGCATGGAAAAAACTCCACATTGACAAAGCCCATGCCACAGATGGCCCTTCTGCCCCACCCCAACCTGAACAGATAAACATACACACACACACACACCACATCGCCCTAACATAGCACACTCTGTAACACTGCAACAAAACTCACCTGAATCTTTGTCACCAAGCTCTTCCTTTTTAATCTACTGTCTTTGAAATTCTCTGGCAGAATCTATGGAGGAATAAGTCAACAAAGAAACAATCCTCAGTGCAAATGGCATGAGAAAACATGAGAAATTCCCACAGTGCACCAAACAGACCACAGCTGTGAATGAGATATGCATTTTCAAGAAATATTTATTACTTGGGTCACAGCCTTCCAATGGTTCTTACCCTTTAAAAACGTCCTGTTTCCAGTGTTTGGGCCATAGAACCTGACCTGTATGACAGAATTTGTTGTTTCACTGTTTTCCATGTACAGATGCTATTCCCTGGCCAGACTGCGCTCACAATGGCTGGGAAAGGGTCTCTGACTAAACTCCAGCAGAGTTTACTTTCAACAACGAGGCATCAGGCTAGAGATGTTACTTCGACCATCAATGAAGCTGAGCCTGTGGCCAGTGGGACGCAACAGCCTCCTAAGATCAGATCTG